AAATGAACTGCCTCCCTTGTCAATTTTAAGGGAGTGATTAATATTAGATCGTCCCTTTACTAATTAGGCTCTCCCTCGTCTTTCAGCTTTAAAGTAGAATGAAAATGGAGGCTGTTTGCTCCACCAGGAGCGTGGTAGGCTAACGAGCGCTTCCCTCTGCCACGTTCTTGCCTGTGGCACCCACAGAAGGGAAGGGTGAGCATGGAGGCCTGCACGAGGCTGCAGTTGGTGGGGACATGGCTCTGTGGGGCCAAGAAGGCACTCCAGCTTCCTCACCTGCTGGAGCCCTCTCATCAGAGGAATTGCTCGCTCCTATTTTTAAAAGCCTGCAGGTAGTTACTGGCAGCTCGTAGCCCACACCGGGGCTGCAGCCTCCTGGCGGGTGGTGAGGTCTGAGTGGGAGGCAGACTGGGCTGCCTGAGCCCCAGGCCAGGGCGGGGTCGTGGGTGGGGAGAGAAGATAAATGGGTCACCATACGAGGGGGTTATTTCAAAAGCTGCTGTCTGGTCGGCAGAGCCGGGAGCTCCCCATGCTGCGATGGGGAATCCATCAGCTGGAGAAATGGGGCAACTGCTTACAAGGGAAATAAAGAGCGGCAGAGACCGAGGATATTTATATGCTCATCTTCCTACTCTGAGGGAAGACGCTTCATCACGGGGCCTGCGACGAAATTGCACTTCCAGACCCGAACACAGACAGCCTTTTGTTTGGGCAGCCCGAGGACGTATGGGCTTCGCTGGGACCGCAGCTCCAGGGGCACTCACTGCCCTCCTGCAGAGCCAAGCTGGCCCGCCCAGCCCCACGGGGGAGGGGCGAGGCGTGGGCAGGTGGGGCCAGGGCCAGAAAACTGCCCGTTGCAGCTGAGACACTGCCACTGGACAGCTCCCCTGTCGCCTCCTGCAGCTGAAGGAAGATGAGCAAAAACTCCCTTTCTCATGCCTCAGAATGATTTTTACGGGTCTGGGAGGAGGGAGGTCCTTGCTCTGCACGAGGATGGATGTGTGGCAGGGAGACAGGCTGTAGGAAGATGAGGCCAGGCAGGAGGTCACTGCGATGTCACCGGAGCCGGGAGAGTGACAGCATTTGCGTTTAGATTTCTCTATTAACCACAGCTTCCTTTCATTCATAGCCACCCACGCCACATGGAGCACGACTGGATCATGAGAGATTTCATCTCTCCAAAGTTGTGGAAATTTTTTTACAAAATGCTCAGTGGCATGTATGTTGGTTCTAACCTTTAAACATGACTTTCCTTGGGCATCTTTCATGAAACTCAACCCAAGTGTGACACACACAACTCCTGGGGAAATCCTGTGCATCTGACTGGTGTTCTGACGAGGGGCCCTGACCACTGTGCACCCTGGGGTGGGATGCTCAGGCCTGCACTCCACCTTGGGGTCGGGGAGCCGAGGACTTGCCCCAGGGCCAAGCGCACGCAGCAGATGCTTCCCCTACCCCGGGTTGTCCAGACCCTCTTCACCATCTACAGAGCCCCCGGCATCCTTGTAGATTCCGGTGTCTGAGCTGGAGTGGCAGTGGCTCTGGCCTGCACTCTGGCCAGGTCTCCCTGGCTGCCAGGGTTGAGTGGTGCATCCCCCTAGGGTTCGCCAGGATTGTGGGGGGTGCACTGCTCACCCATGACCAGGCGACACCTGTTCCTCTTCATCAGTTACGGGGGGCTGGGCAGCTCCTGGGCCTAGTGGGCTGGGGTTCTCTGTGGGTCCCGGCTGGGGTTGGGGAGCCGAGGCAGCTGTGACGGCTGGCTCTGGTGGCTGGCATTTACTGGAGGCTCTTCGGTCCTGTCCCTAACCACCATGCTCAGGGCAGACATAGTCACGACCTGTCCCTGAGGCCAAATGGTAGCGGCTGGCCTGGGGCTTCAGTTTAGAGACATCCCTCAGGCAGGGCACAGTGAGGCTGGGTCGTGCTGGCAGGAAAGCACAACGGCCTCAGTTCTGGATGGGCAGAACATGCTGCCTTAAGGGCACGCACTTCTGTTTCACTTGAAATTGGGGCTACCCTTTAGTGGATGAAAACGGCAGTGTACTCAGCTGGGCCTGGCTTTGGGACACCCTGAGTTACTGCTCTATCACTGCTGTGGGATTCTGGCAGGGACTTCACTTCCTGAGTCCAGGCTTCCTACCCCAGGGTACAGAGGGATATGGGGGAAGCCCCTGCCAGCACGAAGCAGCCCCTCCTCCATGCTGGGCTTCCCACTGTGCCTGGGAATCCCAAGTGTGATCCCATGGGCAGGATACATAGGGTCACAGTTCTGTGTCCCCGAGCCCACCATCATCTATTCCATTCTATCTTTGTGGGAGGGGTGGGGTGGGGTTGGTTTGGTGGAGGAAAACACAAACGTTTATCATGAGCAAAGCAAGTGTGTGAGCCGAGAGCTCTCCACCCAGGCCCCTCACCAGGGCAGCCAGGCCTGCTGTGACAGGAAGGAGTGACAGCACAAGCGCCCATGTGCCATGTCTCCTGGCCCCCAGCTCCCACGACGATGTAAGTTCCATGGCTGAAAGGAGCAACTCCGCGTTTATTTATGGAGTAAATCCTCTGGCACTGATGAAGGAGCCCTTTTGCCAGTGTGGACGTCAACATGGTAATTACCGGTAATGCAAGCGGAGGGCAGGTGGAAGTGACTCTTACATCCTCATGTTAAAGGAACATCTTTGTGGCATTCACAATTGCGGCGATGCTTCTTATGGTTCAAGTTTTCTAACCTCTCCCCATTTCCTCACATTTTATGTCAACTTTAATTTACTTCAATACAAATGCAGACCTATTTTTTTTTAAGCCATCACTAAAAATGAGAGATACAGCTGGCTTCGTTCACCAGCATGGTGCTCTCGGGCCTACAGCAGAGCAGGAGGACAGGCTGGTGTAGGTAGGCCTGCATTCCCTCACACCTGTTCTTGGACAGGGAACAGTCATGAGAACAACGATAATGACATGACAACAGCAGCAGTGAGTAGCTACTGGGGCAGGTGCTGCCCAGGCCATTCATAGGACTGTGCTGTTAAATCCATACCTACTGTGGGGTTAAATATTTTTGTTACTATTCTGATTTTGCAGAAAAGGAAATGGAGGCTCAAAAAGGTCAGTGGGAGGGAGAAGATTCCCGCCTAGGTGGCTGGCTCTGAAGGTCTCCCACCTCTGTGCCTGCCAGGGCAGTTGTGCCTTGACTCCTGGCATCCAACATCAACACATGCGTTCTATGAAATAGAGCTGGACCAGTCCTTAGAGTAGGGATGAGAATTAAGGTTTACCAGTAGGGCACTTCCTACCACATCACATGCCCTGGGCCCTACATGGGGCCCTCGCCGACTTCACCCCATCCCTATACCTCGAAGGCTCAGCCAGGGTGGGGACCTGAGCCAATTGGCCTTCCAAGCCCATTGTCCCCACCAGCCCAGAAAGCCCTATAGAGCGACACAGAGCTGCAGGCTTCTTGTTACAATGGAGAGTACAACATGCTGGTCTCGTCTTGTCTGGGACCAGTTACTTTACCTCTAAGATAAACGGGGAGGGGTGAGGACTGTTGGTCAGTCTGGAGTGGGGACAGTGATGATGTATGTAAAGCCCTAAGCCCCCGAGCTGAGCATGCAGCAGGTGCTTAAACAAATGGTGTGACCACCAGGGCCACAGGTAGGCAGACTGGGGCAGGTGGGAGGGGAGAGGGCTGGACACTGGGCCAGCTGCCCCTACCTAGCGCAGCTCCCCATGGCAACAGGGCACTTGCTGCCAGCACTTGCCTGTATGTGGTAGGTTCTATTGTCGTCCCTGCTTTCAACAGAGGAGGCGTGACTCGCCCTGCCAGAGATGGAGCTGGGTTGCCCGCATGTCATTCGGTGTGACCTCTGCCCCGCTTGGCACCTGCAGCTGGAGCAGCCCCTCAAGGGCCTTCCCCACATTCCCTAGGCTACACCCCATGCAGGCGGCCCTCAGAACCACTCACAGCTGCCTTGCTTTTGAGAAGGGCAGACGGGAAAGTCTATGTGCACCTATATTTCAAATGTAGTAGCCAGCCATTGTTTTCCTAAGTTACCACACACAGAATCTATAGATGATAATCAGGTTGATTTTATGATTTATTGAAAATCAAAGACAAAAGGGGGGCTTTTTTGTCTTGTTTTTGCTATGACAGGTTTAGATATTTGTTGTACGACATTAATTCAATTTTCCTTGATTTCAGTCATCTTTCAATAATGCAACCTGCTTCTGCTAGCTGGGTACATAAGAGAAAACCCAAAGGAACTGAGAATATTGAAATGGTTCTGCCACTTCCATCTCTGAGACAAATGTTCTTCTTGGAGGAGGCTGGCTGCGGCGCGTGGCTGCTCAACAACCTGCTACCCTAAGAGGAGATGCACACCTGACGCTGACCTGGGGCGGCAGGGCCAACGCTGGCAGTCTCACCTCCAGGTTGCTTCCATCCCCTCACCTCTCTCTCCTCAGAGTTATCTGTACTCCAATCCTGGGTTGCTTTCTTTCTCATTAGGAAAACATCTAAACTCTTTCAAACCAGGCTGCCTAATGGGGTCTAGCTTATCAAGCACAATGGAAGGTACTCTGACGCTTGCTCTAAATCATGAAGAGGCTGAGTTATTTCTCAAGACCTCTACTGGTGGCAAATAATAAAACAAAAAAAGGAAGAAAAGTCAACAACCCCGTGCCTGTCCCCAACCTCCACCTTCTCAGAGCTGAGACATTTTTAAAAAATGAAGCAGAATTGATGGCTCTGTCTGTCATGTAAAACCTTCTGGCTTAGAGAAGACAAGATGTTGGTCATATTTGACTGGAAGCAATAAATACATTAGAAGTGAGTTACTTCTTCTAAGAAATAAATTTGAGTGAAATGAAAGTGTTTTCTCTCAGAAAGGCATCCCCACCCACCCTTCCTTCCCTGGGATGGATCCCTAATGCAGGACAGAGATCCCAGGTGTGGCCAGTGGTGGCCCAGGTCCCAACCTCCCCTACCCGGGCAGCTTGCTTACCTCTTTTTCAATTTCTGCTAGAGATTTGATGGTGATTCCCAAGAGATCAAAGGGTTGCATCTGAAAATACAGATCAAGTCCCCCTTTTAAATGCTGGAAAATGCACCTTCCCATTTGCTTTTATGCATGACAATTGTGAAATCTCAAACTAACCTATGCGATCTAGTGTTTCTCTATCCACTTTCCGCTGGAAGCCTGGTGATGTGACTTGGTCATTTGTGAGGGCAAAGGGAGGGGTGATAAAGAGCATGCTGCAGGAATGTGGCTGCCAGTGGGGCCAGCCCCCCTGTGTAGTTATGTATCTGCAGCACCCAGGAGAGCTCAGGCCTCCTGGAAGACCACGGCTGATCCACATGCCCCTTTTCTCCCCCACCAAAGGAAGCACAGGCAATGTGTGCTCTTTCCTCTGCAGCTGTAGGGCTGGCAGTGCCCAAGGCTTTCACCAGAGGCCGCCCTGACCACTGTGCCTACATGGGGCCGAGGGCTAGGAAATTGCAGGAGTCTGTGGGATCCAGGAAAGGAGCTGGGAACTGCAGGTCTTTGGAAATGCCAGCGAGATGAGAAAACTGCCTATCAATTATCATCTGTAGTATCAACATGTAAAAGAAATGATAACACTGCATTTTAATGGGCATTTCTGTAATTTCATGAAGATTGGGGACCTTTTTTGAAAATGCTGATTTTTTTCAATAGACAGAATGAAAAATCAAATATACATGGCAACAAAAGTGAATTGGAGGCCCACAGAAGTCTGGGCTGAAACGCCAGAGGATAGTCTGCACCCTGCTCCGAGTCCATCCTGGGCATATTAGTGTTCTGTATTCCTGAGAGGGGCAGCCCCGCCTCCTGGAGCCCAGGCTGGCAGCTAGAGGCCAGGATGAGCGGGTGAAAGCTGGGATCTTTGTGGTTCTGAACTGCAGTAGCCCAGGGTTGAGAGTGGAGCTAGACCTCAGCTGAAAACAGGGACTTCCTGCAAGGCTGGCCCTGGAGTCTAAGGACCTGGATTCAACACCAGCTCAGCATCTCCTGGAGATGCAGCCACAGATTAAATCCCTTCACCAATTCCTGGCCTGTTAGAAGGCTGCATGGGCAGGGCAGGCCCTCCTAGCTGGGCTGTGGCTCTAAAGGAGACACGAGCAGGAAGTGCCGGCCACTGGGCAGCAGAGTCTGCGACCTCGAGTGCTTGCTGAGGTGGCAGCATCCGCAGCAGCACATTCACAAGGGTGCTCGTGGGACAGGACCACTGGATCAGACACTCCGCTCCAGGGCTGCTCTGCCAGGAGCCACAGAAGTCTGGCTCTTTTTGTGCTGCCAGCCTGAGTGGTGCGAGAGCAGGGCAGCCTGCCCGCATCGCCGGGATCCAGCAGAGGTCCAGCTGCTGTATCATTAGGCTCTAACTACCCACTAAACTTTCCCAACTGGAGCTGGTGAGCAGGACAGAGCAGCCTCTCCCAGGAACGCAGGAGAGGCGCCAGCATCTCCATGGCAACGCGGTGAGCCAGTAGGCTGAAGTTACTCAAGCTCCGCATGTCACGTCATGAGCATTTTTCAAGATTAAGCTGCTTACCAGAAGGGTTCAGAGGAGGCCTATTATATTTCATGAAAATGGAAACTAGAGAGCGGGTCAAATCGCAAGCCGGGTGGTTTTAAGCTGGATCCAAGAAAAACACTGAGTGATTCTTTAGCTGGTGCCCAAACTGGGGCCTTCACGTTTAGTAGCTATTCAAGGCAAACTTTCACAGAAAGAATAAAAACCAGAAACAAGTCTGCTGAGCCGGCATGGACCAGGCCTGAGCAGCTGAGAGAAGGCCACTGCCACCTTGGGACAGACACCATCTGAGAGAGCACCCCAGGAGTGCCAGAGTCCCCCAGTGCCATGAACGGCGGGCGCCTCCCATGGTCTGGAATTCAGCCTTTGGTCCTGGCCAGACCACTTGGTTGCTTTATCACTAAGGATGGCTTGACCTGGCCTGGGCAAGCATGTGCACATATGTCGTGGGGTCAGTGCTGGCCTGGCATGAGCAGGGGACCACAGCTAAAGGCACTGCACACACACAGAGGAGGGCAGATATGCAATCAGCACAGAGTCCTAACAATGGACAATGGGAAAACGAGCAGACTCCTTTCTGTAGGAAATTGTCATTGTTAACTGAGGAAGAACAAAACTTCCGAAGCTGGACTCAGAAAACAAAACATTCACAACCAGTGAAGTGTGGTTCAATTTAATCATGTGTGACATGGAAAAGGCTCAATTGCATCTGAGCTTGTCTGCTAGTCTGTCTCGCTCTTATCCCCATTCCTCAGCCATTCATTTTTGAGACAGGTCTCACTTGCCCAGGCTGGAGTGCAGTGGCTTGATCATACCTCACTGCAGCCTTGAATTCCTGGACCCAAATGATCTTCCTGCTTCAGCCTCCCAAGTAGCTGGGGCTACAGGCATGTGCTACCACAACCAGCTAAGTTAAAAAAATTTCTTGTAGAGATAGTGTCTCACTATGTTGCCCCAGCTGGTCTCAAATTCCTGGCCTCAAGTGATCTCCCAAAGTGCTGGGACTATAGGCCTGAGCCAACATACCTGGCCGCCTACCAGCTATTTTTTCCTTCATTTCTCAAGTAGCTGCTAGGTAAGGTATTAGCTGAACAAGCCAGAGATGAGCGCTTGACCTGCCCCCAGCCCTCAGGAAGTCATTGTCATTGTGCAGCAGGGTTCAGCTTCCTGGGGACTGGGATGGGGGAGGGGACCTGATTCCAGCAGGGGTAGAGAGTGTGCTGTGGAAATAAGGATGGAGGAACTTCAGGCTAGGGGTGACAGAGGGGAAGGGCAATCATGCATAAAACTTACACTTTCTGGAACACAAGAAAACTTCTCAGAAATCATAAAAGGCACACCATCCATTGCTGCAAAAGAAGAAAAAAGAGAAAATGGCATTGAAGACACCATCCATGACCAGCAACTTAAGATATCAACACAGAGCATGAATGTGCCCCTGGATAAAGCTAGCTGACCTCCAGCACAGGTATGTGGGCGCTATTAGGGAAGAGCAGAGACCACCCCTGCACCCAGGGCCACACGCCTACTGAGGGAAGCAGATGCCTCATCACTCCCTGAATACCAGGCAGATGTGTAGATGAGAGCTCTGGGGGCTGAGGGGCTGGTCTAGAACCCCCTACTCCCCTCCCACACTGGAGTGTGGCCTCCGATCTGTAAGTGGTGGGAGCTGACAGCAGAAGGAAGGTGATACAGAGTTGAGAGGGGGCAGTAAGCATGCTCATTTGACATTCTCTAAGCTGCGTTGGGCTCACAGGAAAAGCTTAAGTTGGAGGAAAGGCAGTTCTGGAGTCTGACTGACTGGGTGTGAATCCCATGGCCGTGACTTCAGATGAGCAACAGAAGTGACATTTGAGAGCACTGCCTATGTGACGGGGTGCTTGTGTGTCACACATGGAGTGCGCGTGTGTCTGGTTGGTGAAGGCACTGGGGGGCAATAGTTGCTGTGGCTGACTCTTGGTCTCTCAGTCCTGGGGCTTCAAGGGTGATTCGCCAATGTGCTCGATTTTAACAGGACACGAGAGAACAGAAATCAGGGATCCAAAGGTTCCTTCTCTATAGCCCTCCCCCATACCCCCACCATCCACTCCATTCCAGGTCACCACGGTCAAAGGCATGCAGAGAAAAATGTAACCCAGAGTATGCCACTGTGAGCGAGTGCTTTCTCTATGAATTATATGGTCAGAGAGGAGAACTCCGGTGTCCTATCAGGGAACAAGTGGCAATGGATGAGATGCCTGCAGGCACTCACAGTGCTACCAGGTGGGTGGGGATGTCTCCTGTGTTGGCTTCTCCCTCAGGCCTGAGCAGAGGCAGGAGCAAGTCATGGCCAACGCAGTCATGTAGGGCCCAGTCTTTGTGCTGGAACCTGTAGTCCAGGAGTTAGGGCTGGACCTCACCCTAAGGCAATGGTTTTGTGGTAAACTGTAGTTTTAGGAAGAAATGGAGTGAGCAGAACTGAAACCTTGGTAAATAAGTTTTCTGGGAAATGACATTCTTTGTTTCCCCCAATGCCTTCTGAAATGAAGACTTCTTGGTATCTAAGTGGTCCTAACAAACAGGAGTAGCAGAAGCAGAAAGAAGCAATAAAGGAAGAAAGAAAATAAGAGAAGGAAAAGAAAGTTGTGATGAATCCTTTCTGATCAGCAAGAAGAGCCAAGTGGCTCATTTTAAGCTATGTTCATACTTTATTTTAGAGTTGAAAAAAATGAAACTTCTCTGGTAAGTATGAAGAAAAAGACAGCATAGCTGACTCCATGGCTGTACTGACACCCCCTCCTCTCTTGGAAGGACCACTATCGAAAGTGACACCTGTGCCCAGAGGCTGTCTCCCGTCACAGGTGGCCCTGCCAGAAGAGACAGACTGAGGGCTGGAACAGTACAACACTTCCCTAGAAAGACAAGTGAGGAAATCCAAAGTAATCTTACTCAATACATCACATGTTCAAGCCTTCGCATGTATGCTCACTTACAGCTAGAACATTCAGTAGTGAAAAAGACATCCTTGAAAAGCCACAAAGCCTCCTAGAGAGGGACAGAACCGAGCTCTGACAACATTCAGGAAGAGGTGGGCCAGCTTCTGCCACCGGCTACCCAATGCTGCCTCCACACTCTGACTTCCCATCTTCTGAGCCTTTCCTGATGCTGCTGAGATGAGTCAGGCACTTAGATCATTTCTGATCACTTTACAGACTGGAAAGCAGAAGCTCTGAGAAGTTGGTGCTTGCTGCAGGGGCACATGGTTAGGAGACAGTGACCCCAAAGTTCTAAATAGTACAGCCTCCTTCACCTCCCAGTAAACCCATTGTTTTCACCAGTCACCACCATTCACTGCCATCCCTCTGAACACCTTGGCACACACCTGCCTCTTCCATGTCTCTCCTGCCTACTAGGCAGAAGAGCGTCTGCCACAGAGTTCCCCTTGCATGCCCTGACACTGCGCACAGGCCCTGGAAAGTGTGAGCACTCACAAGCATGCAGAACGAGTGCAAGGCTATTTCTCAGCGAGTTCACCTGCAGAACACATCAGCAAGTGAAGACTCCTCCTCACTGCCTCCCAGGGGAACCCACTAGCCTCACTTCTGTTGTTCACTGCTAGCGCATTCTGTCTTTGATGTTGTAAAGACCTTATTCATGTTCGGGGGTGAAGAACTGCCTCTCGCTGGTGGCAGTTGTTTCTATCTAAATGTATGCCTAGAGAACCTGTGTGTTTAAAAAGGTGGTAAGGGGACCTGCAAGACCTGATTACACCCAGTAACTGAGAAAGCAGGGAAGTTCTGGACGTCCCAAAGAAGAAGGGAGGCTCCTCCCTCATAAGAGGCTGCCAGTTCTGCCTGGGCCTCCACAGGGCAGGGAAGAAGAGGGTTCTAAGATGTCCTGACTGGCATTTAAGGCCCTGCACCCCTGCACTTGATCCTCTTCTTGGCCTGCCCTTTCCCTTCCTCCCTCTATATTGGCACATGGGACCTGCTGAGTGTCTTTCCTGCAGGAAACCTCTCTGGGACCTGGCCAGATCATGCCTCCTCTCCTTTCCTGGTAGGTACATGTGTGAGTCATCTCTGCATTCCGTGTCCCCAGCACATGGTAAGGCCCAGAGAGCTCCAGGGCTGTGCTGGAGCAGGGAAGGCTGCTGTTCCCATGGATGGGGATCTGATGAACTGTGCAGGGGGCTCCAGCCTGGGGCATGGACCTAACCTCTCTGAGGACCTATGGGGCCCACTATCTGCTGTACCTACCCCACTGTTGTTGGGAATGAACATTGTGGCTGGAAGAAGTCTGGGTGTCACCCTCTAGGAACTGAGAAGATCTAAGCAGGGAGGGACATTTTTCAACTGAGGTGAAATTCACATACTATAAAATTAACCATTTAAAGGTAAACAATTTAGTGGCATTTAATACATTAACAATGGTGCACGACTATGATCTCTAACTAGTCCCAAAATAGTTCCATCACTCCAAATGAAAACCCCTTACCCTTTAAGAGGTTTCTCCTTATTCCCACGAGGAGCATGTTTTCACCCCTCCTTCTGATGGTCATGTGTTTGAAAGAGAAGGATCTAGAAACATAACTGGTCCCTTAAGACTGGCTTGCTGGACTGTGGTGGCCTGACCTCCTGTAATGTTGTGCTCCTGCTTCTTCGGATAGGATAGAGTATGAGGAAGAATGGGTTTGCCTAGATTCGCTGATCTGACTTGAGGGCTTAAAATAAAAACTGAGGAGAAAAATGTAACTTGTAAAACTTAGATACCAACAATAATAGCATTTTTGATGTATGTGTGTATATATATATAATATATTTATAATATGAAAATAAATTTTACATAGATGTGTAAATTTATATTTCATGTATTGTTATGATATGTAATATATGAATATAAACATTTACAGTATATGTGCACATATGTACACACACACACACACACACACACATTATTATGAGAAGACCCTTTCTTAGCTACTAACAGACCAAAGGAAGTAGACAGAATGTCCAGCCTTGCCTCTCAGTGGGCCCTGAAGGAGGCTCTATCCAGAGAAGCCTGTTCCTCTGCCTCCAAGACCTATTGGAAGAGCTTATCCTATCTATCTGGCTCTATCCAGAGGAAAAGTCCTGGAGAGTCACTGGGGCTGATGGCCAACTTGCCCCACATGAACGTATCGAAGTGTCTGGGTAAGGACAATTTCTGGCCTTCAGATAGGCTCAGAGGTCTTCACAGAATAACTTCTTCAAGAGGCTAAAGGTGTGAAGATGAGAAGTGATGACATCATGGGGACACAATAAGGTGGCCAACTGGGAGAGAAGAAAGGGAAGACACCTTCCCAAAATGTCTGAAAAGCAAGAGGCAGCAGTGAGGGTGGCTGTCAGAACTCTGGCAGCCTCATTCCACCCAGTGGCCAATGTATGCCTGACTGGGCCAGTGGCCAAGATGCCCAATTGGACCTAATCCTGACTGCAGAAGGAGCTGTCTGGTAAAGTAATAAAGTCAGGAACAAACCACCACTTTATCTTAGAATTCTTGAAAGAAAGATGGACATAGATGCTCCTTGTATTCTTCTAGAAAACAGGTTTTAACAAATTCAGAGGAAAGCAAGACACACCGACAGGAACCAATGGGCAGAAGTTCCCAGTGGGAGCAGAACCGAGAGTAACAGGACTGTCACAGTACCCTTCTTACCAACGTGGTGAGTCTCTGAGAAGAGAAGCAAGAGGTACCATGAGCCAGAGAGTTTGCTAAGCAGATGCTCTGTCCACCAAATTTCACTTATTACAAGAAATCTAGTATATCAAAGATTAAGGCAGGCTGAAATAATGTGGATTTTAGCAAAGCATTTGACTCATTTTCTGATGTTATCCACATAGACAAGATGGATAAATATGGACAGGAAATGTTAAAGTGAGCAGAATCTATAACTGCTTGAACTATACATTTAAGAAGCTGATTAACAGACTGGTGTTGACCTTGAGCAACCTCTCTGAAGGACACCAAGGGCATTCTTCATTACTTAAACAAAGATACGCATAGTACGCTTATTTAATATGTGACTGATAGGAAGCCTAGGTGAACAGTCTATAAACTAGAAAACAGAGTGAAATCTAATAAAGCTCTCAAAAAGTTGGGATTTAATGGATGCAATTTATTAGAGGTCAATGTAGGGTCCTATGGTTTAGGTCCAAAACCCAAACTTTATTGGATGGAATGGAGACATGGAATAACAGTGGGAAATAGGAAAAAAGTCTTGGTTGTAGTTGAGTAAGTCAATAATGTAATTTGACCATTTAAAAGGTGGGTGCCATCATGAGGCTACAGTGCTATAGTCCCAGCACCCAGGATGAGGGCATCACTTGGTCTG